CCTCTTCAAGGGGGCCATCGCTAGCTGGCCAGTGGAAGTCACCACGGTTAGCGATCGAAAAAGTGCAAGGCAAGCTCACGCAGACTGCCGACGCGACCCCTCGAGAAACATATGGCAGTATTGCTGGGCGTAGCCTCGGAAACCTATTAAGTCCGATGTTGAGGATGATCACCTCATCTCCGATAACAAGCATCATGCCACCAGGAGAGGCTGTAAGCACCCAGACAATCTATACGCCAACCACCATTACTGGGGTCCCAAAAAACGGACTCAGCCCTCGGGGGAGAGACCCGAGGGACTGCCATTGAAAGCGCGGGGAACGGAACACATACTGGGGCCGAAAACTAGGAAACCCCAGAGACCAGTCGATCGAAGAGAATCGACCCGAGTGGAACATAGAAGGAAAGCCTGAAGTAGGTGGTAGGGTTGCTGAGGGGGGCTCCGGAGTAGAGGGGAAAGATCAAAATCAAATTAATCCCAGATGACGACACAAGCCACCAGTGCCCTAAGGCAAACATGAAACTGCTGGCTAGAGACAGTTTTGAAGTGCTCCTTACCAATGCGTGTAGCATTAGTAACAAATGGGTGGAGCTAAAAGCAGAGGCCTTTGGTGTACAGTGCATTGGCATTACAGAGATATGGCTGAAGCCAGAAGAGAGTATCAGCAATTACTTTTTGGAAGACTTTTGTACCTATAGAACTGACAGAGATGGGAGAATAGAAGGGCAGTCCTTCTGCTAATGTCAAAGTACCTCGTGCAAGGTCAGAAGTGGGAGCGGGTGGGTCAACTGTGTTTGCGTATACAGAAGCCCATCAACACGCATGGAGGAAGACGCTGGCTTGCTATATCTACTGGAAACAGTAAGCGAAGCACCGAATAACATATTAATAATGGGAGACTTAACGCACCAGAGGTAAACTGGCAGGACGAATGGGCTCAGCCAACATCCTTCGGGGCCTCGCCTGATTGCGTTTCTACGGGAGCGAGACTTAATCCAGCATGTACTACAGCCCACAAGATGGAGGGCCGGATGCACAGCAGGTCTGCTTGACTAGGGCATAACCAAGTGCCCAAACGATGTAAGAAACCTGGTGTTGAGAGCTCCAATTGGTTGCAGCGACCACGTAGTAATACGCTTTGATGTACCATCCACGCCAGACAACCCACCGGATAAGACACGACTGTCCTTTAAAAGAATGAACACTCAAGGGTTGCTAGATAGGGCCGCCACCTTAAACTGGGGAGAAAGCATAAACACAGTTGGGGAACTGTGGGGAGTTATAAGGGGCAACCTTACTGAACTTGTGAAAGAATTTGCTCCATTGCGGAAAATCCGAAGATAAGGAAGACCCCCGTGGTGGACGAGTGGAGTGGGTAAGGCCCAGCGACGGAAACATGCTGCATGGGCACGGTTCAGAGGGACAGGAGGCCATATAAGGCCTTTGCAATACAGAAGGGCTGCTGAAGCTGCGCTGAGGGTTCAGCGAGCATGTCAGTTGAAGTATGAAAAGTGTCTCACACTTAAGGCTAAGACATGCCCAAAGGCCCACTACAACTACGTCCAGTCTAAAGCTGCCATGAGGTCAGTAGTAGGCTGTGTGAGACGAAAACAGGCAGCATGCTGGGAGTGACACGGAGAAAGCTGAGATCCTTAAAAGGTTCTTTGAGAGGGTGCATCACGCGGATGGAGGATCCACACCAGTCCTCCAAACTACCCGGGTCCCGGTGATGGTAGAACCGCTCTTTCACCCGGAGGAAATACAGCTCGTGCTGAGGGGATTGAAAGGGCACAAGTCTGCAGGGTCGGACTGCATTCACCCTGCGATTATGAAGCCTCTAGAGATTGTATTGAGTGACCCGCTTACCAGACTGTTCAGTCTGTCACTTGAGAGTGCAACTGTGCCGGAGGACTGGAAAGTGGCTGAAGTAGTTCCTATATATAAAGGGGGCTGCAAGGAGGAACCGACCAACTATAGGCCGGTCAGCCTTACACCGGTCTCACTGAAGGTAATGGAATGAACATGTTGGGATAGGATGGCACAGCACCTCGTAAGTCACGATTTGCTATCGGGCAAAAAACATGGCTTTGTTAAAGGGAAGTCGCGTTTGACGAACCTAGCACTTCTAGACGAGGTTACGGCCAGGCTGGATAGAGGACAAGGAGTCGAAGTATGCTACCTTGACTTTCAGAAAGCATTCGACTCCGTCAACCATCGTCTTCTAGTGCGAAAAATACAGGCACTCGGCTTTAGCCCCTGCATCGTTAGGTGGATCAATGAATACCTCCGGGGGAGAACCTTCCACGTTAAGGTGGAGGGGGCAAGGTTGGATAGAGCAGCCGCGTGCAGTGGCGTTCCCCAGGTATCGGTATCAGGGCCGCTACTCTTCATCATCTACATCAACGATCTGCCCCAGGAACTGGAAGGGCCGTGTCTGGTGTTCGCGGATGATGTTAAGCTAGTTAGGGATACCACCTCAGCGCAAATGCAACAAGACCTAGTCCGTCTGCAAAAGTGGGCGATGGATTGGGAGCTTCCACTGAACACCAATAAGTGCAGAAAGCTTCTATTCCAGGGAGGCCAGCCACCATCAAATAACAGGCGACTAAACCCGGATAATCCTCAGGCAATAACCGAAACAGGGTAGATGCGGGATCTGGGAGTACTCATACACGAGACCTACAAACCAGCCAAGCAGGTCCTCCTAGCGGCGACAATGGCAAACAGAGCACTACACCAGTTACTGAGAACGGTGGCCTTAAGAGACAGATTAGTCCTTCTCCCACTATACAAAGCGTTTGTGAGGCCGCACTTAGAGTACTTTGTGCAGGCCTGGACGCCATCCCTAGCGAAGGACTCGGCGGTACTAGAGAATGTACAAAGGAGATTCACAAAGCGAATCCGGGGGATGGGAGGTTTGGACTACCACAGCAGGCTAAGAGAACTTTACCGGTTCTCTTTGGTCAGAAGACGAATAAGGGTGACCTAATAGAGGCTTTCAAGCAGCTAAAGGGACTATCCAGCACGGGAAGGCAAATGCTATCCAGGAATAATAACCCAGCACTGGGGGTAAACTGAATGGAGCTTGAAAAACCGAGAGCACTAAGGGGGATCCGGGTGAATTTCTTCGCTCATAGGGTTATAAACCCTTGAAGCAAGCTACCAGCCTCCGTTGTTTCAGCTGACTCAGTTGGGGATTTCAAGGGTCGCCTGGACGCAATGTGGACGGAACTTTTTCCGGAAGCTGTATAAAAAGAGACCAAGCAGGACAAATGGTGTAGACATGCATGCAGGTCCGTGTGTATACACTTGTGTGTAATGGAGAAAACCTGAATGTCCCTGGGGGATAGACAGTAGAGTGCTCAGTTTACGCCAACCACAAAAGAGCTATTATACAGGGCAGGTAGACAACCGGGGTCAGGCGGACACATGCTCAGTGTCGGTACTCGAGTGCAGGTGGACTAAAGCATCCCGAAGTACGGTTTCAGTGAGTATGAAGGAGTCTGCTACACGTTTTCACCTCTCTCCCGTGTGCTCTGCACTATCGAATTTTCCTCTCTTTCTTCTCTATTTCATCCAGAAGCCTTTACATCTTATCAGCCAGTATATACAGGACAATCCGAAGGAAACCATCACACCCCCAAAGGAGAGAGATAGGTGGCGACGACTCCTAGGGTTGGCACAGTAAGACGCACCCTAAATCATACGGGTCGCGCGAGACTGCATGCAGGTAAACAGACACCCGTACCGCTTTGCCACTGGTCTCCCGCACTTCACCAGTAATGTGCCGAAATAATCCACTCCCGTCTCCGCGAACGGCCACCCCGTTCAAACCCTGAATTCGGGTAAGAGTGCCATCAGCTGCATTCCAGTTACCGCGTTTTGGCGTCGACAGAACATACATCTACTGACGATCCCCTTTAATGCGGTTCTACCACGTGTTATCCAAAATCTCTCCCGAATGGCGTTCGGTAGATGGTTATTTCCCACCTGCCCGTTTTTCACGTGAGGGTGGCCTATAAGTGAGGCGCGACAGAGCTATCGGTTGGTAGAATGATCGGATGTCTAGCTCCGAAGGCCAAGGAAGAATTGTCCAGTCTCCCTCCCACGCGCAGCAACCCTTCAATCAGTATAGGATTCAGTTTACGCAGCGCGCTCCGTTGGATCGCGGTCCGGTTTTGGTGCTTCCCTACATTCGATTGTAGAGTCATTGTTTCGAGGGGAAGTGCTGCAGTTGCACTAATCTCATGACGTTGTGCTCCGCTCTCAATAGGTCGTCTATCGATAAAGGTCCCGCACGCAGCGATTCGTTAGGCCGAAATCAAGTCATGATCATCACCGTACGCTTAAATCTTATCCATCAAGCAACGGAACGAATCAATCTGCTCCAGGACGAGAAGCTTTCCAGTTTCCTTATCAGCGGGGAGGTGACGTCGCGTTCCACCGTCAAGATTGCCCGTTTTGATTCCATCAACTCAGCGGGCGCGGTGGGTGCAAGCACTGTACTCTCGTCTTTGGACGCAGCGGTCAGGAATGTCGGACCTCCAACCGATCGCGTGGCTTGTCCAATGATTCCAAACCTCGGGAGCAGTGATCGGTGTATTTCATGCTGACTTTTTGAAAATCCTTCCGAACCCATGATGAATTATGGTGAAATAACTTTATCTGTGTTTTGCTCTTATCTTGACATTTCTCGATCACGAACACCACACATTATTATTTATTTGTTAATTTGGATGCCCGTCACAATTTAATTTGGTGTGGTTTGAGAACTGGAGCGACTGTTTGCCTCTCTCTGGACATTACATCTGGCTCGCTTGTTTGAGTGCTTTTGGCCGCATATTTAAGGTTTGCTTTATTGTACATTTTGTAATGATTTCGTTAATTCAGCACCGTAGAACATTGCAGATCAATTGCGTTTTCAATCAGGGAT